TCACCGTTTACTGCTGTGGCTCCACGATGGAGACTGATCACACTTCAGAATCCTCCCTGGTGTCCTTCATCCACTGAGGCGGTTCGTTTCCTCCTCACAATCAGCTGCTTCTCACTCAGTTTAGTTTTTGTTTTTTTCCCAGGTAGACTTTTTTAAAGAATAGCCTCGTGGGCTTTGGGGGTTAGTTACTATTTTGGTGCCATTATCTGGCATTAGCACAAGCCAGCAAACATCCATTATGAATCTTTATCAGCAGCCAGCGTCCCTGAAGACATGATCACAGAGGAGCCTCGTGGAAACCTCAGAGGAGAATCATTAGATTATAACAACCTGCATCAGAACCAGCAGCTGGACCGTCTCAGGTTCCTCTGCTGCAAACAGCCTCTTCTGTGCACAGCGTCGCCTTCATTTGAGCGTATTTGTGCACCAATGTGCATAAATTAGCTTTAAACATTCCTGCATGTTTATAATGTGAGTTTAATCTGCACACGTGTGACACGAAGCCTAATTGGATGAATTTTGCATTTCCTCCGAGGGCATCATTCAAATTTACAATGAAGCACAGCGCACGTATTCTGAGAGGCTCCCTATCCGTCACAAACACATTAATATACACAGGACGGATGAATCGGCGTGTGGGAGCAGCACAGAATCCATATCCAAGGAGGGATAATTCAAATGCATACTGACAGTTCATGATGCCGCCGACAGCTTTTTCCTGATTCGTCCTCGTTTCACAAACTGGACGGAAAAAATAATAATAAAAAACAGCCTGAAACAAAAGAAAATCTAAACAACGTCTGTCATTTCTGGTTGTCATTCGTCATATTTTTTAAATAAACCCATCCATGAACGTTTAATTTTTAAAAGAAAATCGACATTTTTTATTACTTATAAGGCCGCTACAGTGCATTCATGAATTGAACACAAGAATTCAAGGTGATTACTGTAAATATATAAATATATTTTTGCATTTTTTATGAATTTTAATTAGTGATGATATGTTTGTCCTGGTCAGTCCCTGTCCCTTCATACCGCACTGTTGCTTCACATTCACAGATATTCTTAATTTACTCATCTGGTCTTTGTAAAATAATCATAAATAAGCAGAGATGGTTAATTCTCTGGTATTTTACAATATGTTTTGAAGCCCAAGATCACAAAATATTTAAATTTTTTCTGTACTTGTAGGTTGATTTCAGTGTCAAAGCAGAATTTTTTTATTTTATTTTATTTTATTTTATTTTTTAAACAGTGACAGAACTAGATGTTTGGCTTTCTTGGCTTGTTGTGATGCCAATTTTATTTATTTGTATTAATTTAACATTTTGCAAAACATTATGCTAAGCTAAGCTAACTAGCTGCAGGGGTTAGCCTGTACAGAGAGTTTACATGTAAGAAGAATAAGGACAATGACGTGCAAATTGTGCTCGTAGAAGAAAAAATTAGCAGAATCGTGCTGGTATTTTACAATTAAGAAGTCTAAACACAGTAATAATAATAATAGTAATAACAATAAGAAGAAGAAGAAGAATACTCGGCATATAGGAGGGATAAACAGGCTGCAGATACACAACCTGCTTTTGTTTAATTAGATGGAAAACATGATCCGTCTTGATGTGTTTTTTAGATCTGAGGAGAATTTATTAAACTTGTATGTTTCAGACCTGCCCCAGATCTAATCCTGTTTATCCAGGTTAATTCCAGCCTCCAGGTCTGGTCTGTCTGTTAATCACATAAATCTGACGTGTGTTCAGACCTTAAAGTGAGGGTTTACTACGTGAAGAGACTTGACGTGAATCAACAGGTCACAGGAGTAGAAACCGAGTCAGTCCGTCCTCTCCGATATCGGCCTCGGCGTCGCTCCGCCTCAGGCCTCCGCCTCAGTGTCGGCCGGTGAAGGCCTCACGTGTCTCGGACGGAGCTCAGAGACGACGGAGCCTGAAAATAATCTGTGAGATGTGGAGCTGGTGAGGACGGCGTGTCAGGTGCGTCTCCTCCGATCAGCATCAGGCCCAGCGGTCCGCCGAGGACGAACAAACCTCCACCGAGCTCCTCGTCTGCACGGACCTGATTACGAGGCTCCGCAGGTCGATATGGTTCTGGAGCCAGTTCTTTAATTTAAATATTAACGTCTTAAATGAAAATACCTGCAAATAGATTCATGTTTATCAGTCTGACAAAAGAGAAAGTATGAAAATTCAGCTTAAAGCTGCATTAAAATTCATGATTTTATCTCTTTTAGGACATTATCGCTGTTGTTTTTTACTGCTATGATGCTAAATCTTTTCTAATTATGGATTTAATGGGAGGAATGTTGGCGAACACTTTATAAAAGCAACTCAAAGCACCTGCTGATGGATTAAATGCAGGGTGCAAGATGAAAATTCAGATTTACTGATTGATGTAAAGCTTTTTTATTGTGACGGGTCGTGCTGACATAATAACGTTACATCAACTTAATATTTCCTGTAATTTAAACTCAAATGTCTGCATCAGCTGATGGAAAACTAAATACAAATAAATATAAAATGCAGAAGAAAGGCTCATGCCTCCAACTTAATGTAGTTTCTTGAACATAATCGTATCAGAAGTTGTCTTAATTCAAACAGACGGATGCAGGCGTCGTTTTTTTTAGTGTACTTTCTTTTTACAAGCTTTAACTTGTCCAATGCACTTCACCACATTATTCTAGCTTTCTAATATCAATTTTTATACTTTCTAAATGTCTATATTTAGGTTTTCTTGCTCTTTCTGACCAATATTTTGATTCTTTCTAATAAATGAGGGCAATCTGAGCAGCAACAGATGTAAAAATCTACCAAAATAATGAAATCTGACCCACGTGAGGTTTTCTTTTAGCTCTGCAGCCTTTAATTAGTGATTTGTCAGCGCTGCTTTTAGAATTTAGGGCCAAAATCTTTACTTTCATGCATGTTTGTTGCTGCTTTTCCAACTTAAATGATATTTATGCATATTATGGAGTCACTCCTGCTGCAGCTAACAGTGCAAACTGAGCAAAAGCTGCAATAGTTTTAAATGTGTGACAGTCTGCAGAGCTGGACTGAGTTCATCTGAACACGTCTGACATCAACATATCACACCGGGTTTAAGTTCAGTTCATT